TCCTGAGCTGAGCCCACAGGCTGCGAACCTCACTCGGGCTGAAATGAAGAGAAAAATGTTAGTACTTGTAGTAATATAAAGCGTAAATGTAAAGCATTTTTTGCAATGCAATGTGCAGAGCAAAGTGTAAAACATCAGTACTGACTCTTCAAACACATTGCTAGCACCCAAGCTCTCCATCAACATGCAAAAATGTCTCTCTTCATCATCATCATCCTCATTCTCTGACAGCTGTTCATCCCCTGAACTCTGATCAAGAGCTTCTGGAGCTTTTTGAGAGGGTGCAGTCATTAGTTCCTCCGTCATGGAGATTCTCCGTCCATGAAGAAAGTTACCTGGGGAACAAACATAGAAACTTTCATTTGCTGTGCTAAAAATATTGTACCAAATAACAAATCATTTTTGAAATGCTCCCCTTTCTGGAAGGAGATGATAAACATACTAAATCCAGAGGAAAACTCTGCCAGCGTCAGGTATCCATTTTTGTCAAGATCTAGTGAGTCAAAGACGCTCTCGAGTTCTTCAGTAGTAAGTGACAATTCTTCATGTAGCCTCTAAGATAGAGGAGAAACAGATGGGAAAATTACATCAACACAATTTTCTGCTATCTAGATATTCTACCAGCCTATTATGAACATTGTACATAAAAAAAAACATTTTGTAAAAATGCAACATATATTATCATCTAAATATTTAGAACCAAAAACAAAACTTTGATGGACATAGATCGGCTGAACAATACTAAAACATCATTTGAATAGACATAGCTGTTTGGATACATAAAGCCATGACAGATGTGAATAAAATAAAATAAAATAAAAAAGTGGTGAAAAATGTCCACTTTAAGGACCCCTGCTTTACCCTCATATCCGTGCGTGTGATGAAGCCCTTTCCCTCGCTGTCACAGATCTGGAAAAAGTCCTCTGTTTTGTCCAGCATAGCAATGTGTCCCCATCCTGCCTCTTTAGTCACACTTTTCCTTTGCTGCAGCTGCTTGTCATCCTGGTCTGAGCCACTGTTGATGACACGTGTTGATCTAACGTGTTCAGTCTCTGACATGATTCCAGTACAGCTTACTTTGACCGTCTTCAAGCAGGTCAGGATGAAATGCAGGCGAGAGACATGACAGCACAAACGGGATGGACTTTATAGCTAGATCCAGTATGAGGAATTCTCCTGATTAATTCAGACGACATAATGCATTGTTGTCTTGTACTGAGTCAATGCTGTGGGTCCCAGCTGGAAGTGCATGAAAAGCACAACACGTCAGCATGTCAATCCCTTGTGTCTTTAGGAATGTTAAGACTTCTTGAAAAGTGATATGCAGATTACTGGTGTATATGTGTGTGTGTGTGTGTGTGTGTGTGTGCATCGGAACAGACTTATAAGCCTTGAGCTTAAACTTCAGGCTCACTTCAGCATTGAGTGAGAACTGTAAAAACTAAACATTTAATGTTTAATTGAACACTTGAGTACTTTAACTCTATGCAATAAAATTATAAACGTTGATAAATGCTAATGAGTAAAATTATGTATGGGAATGTAAAGATTAAGAAAAACTCAAATTCTGACATACATATAAATTGAGTTTATTTAGATCATAAAAAGTGATTGAACATTTGTTAGTGCGCATCTACAAAGCCACAGTTGGCGACATCAGTCAGCAGACCCGTCACTTTTTTAGCTTTGATGTCCCACCAACACAATGACAAGGGGGGAAATGAAGAGGTTTCTGTGGTGAAATTTCCTGTTTGAACAGAAGTTGAACTGGCTAAGGTTTGTAAGAGGGGTTATCAAGTATTTTCGATTTATATTTAAGCATAAACCAGTTAAAATGATTCTGCTGAACTTGGTTGACAGACAGATAAGGTGGCGCACATCTTGCTCCTCTATGTTTAGTAATAAAAGTTGAATGCCAGTGCTCTGTGTAATTTGTGACATTAAACTAAACACATGAAATACTGAATTCATGAAGCTTCAAACTAAAATTACATGCAAACTAATTTCTTATAGTGAGAAATTGGTATAATGAAAATACAGAATTACAGCTCTTACCTGAACAATAAAACAAGTATTTTACTCTTCCAGGTCTGTGGCTACAATAATGTTAGTATTAACTTGTTTCATTAAATCCAGTAAATGAGTGAAGTTTGTGGAGAGAGACCGTTAATTCTCGGAGAGGAGGAGGAACTTGTTCAGCTGGAGGTCAGAACAGGACGTTTCTATAGTGACACAGAAGTATGGGATGAAATGAGTCTCAAATTTACTAACAAATGCATGCACAATTATCCTTGAACTTGATAAATGTTCCAAATGTATCGTACTATCCACATCCAAATGTCTGTCAACTTGTGTCTGTAAAATTCAGAATTACATGAATGTGCAGCGGTTTGTACAAATAGAAACAAGGACTGAAATGCTCCAGGAAAGCTCTTTTCATGCTGAACTAATCAAAATGACCACAGCTGATCACAGATGAAAGTCAAATGGCTGTGTGTGCCATTGAAAAGGTGATTCACTAAACCTGATTGAGTTTACAAGTCAGTTTTTTAATAAATATTTTTATATTTATAAATATATATATATTTTTTCTGACATGTTGATGTTTTATCTTTCACTTGGATGTTACAAGTTGCACTGAGCAAATACAGCTGGATGAAACAAAAACTGTGTCTGTCTTCATTTCAGGCTGCAAAAGCAACAAAATGTGATAATTTTAAAGGGTGGTATTTTCTATACCCACTGTATAGATACAACTATACAGATAGATATAACTATACAACTATAGACACTATACCCACTCTATATATATGCTACAAACAGGCAAGAGATAAAAAACCCCTGTAAATTCCCCTCTTATTATATTATATTATATTATATTATTCACAATATTGTATTATTTAAACTAAACACTATTGCAATAATACTAATCTAATGTAAAATAAAACGTATTTAATAATATTTATTATAATGATGATGATGATTCTTCTTATTCATATTTGTATTATTATTATTATTATTATTATAAATTATATGGATATATTCAAATTGTTTTAAGTCATGCTGCAGCCCCCTTTGTAAGTTTGTTGTTCTAGGGAAAGATTTTAACACAAAACATTTTAACACAAAAAAATCATGGTCTTTTTTTTTTCATTTAAAAAATCCAAGAAGTTTTACCATTTTTATGAATAGAGAAATTAACCATTTATGTCCAGATAAAATGTTCACCAGTGAGAGGCTCCCTCATGTGGTGACACAAGACTCTTGTTTGCTCGTTTTTACAATAAGTGCTTTGCTGCCATCTGCTGGATGAATTACTCAAAGCAGTATGATGCCCACCCACAAAAGCCTTGATATGATGCCAAAAGAATATCTTTGGAACAGAAAGCAATGTTTAATTACAAATTTTGTCTGAATAGCCCTCTATTTGTTGTACACAAGTCTAGTTCATTTTATAATATCTCAGCATACTATTTATTGTGTTAGAACATCATAACACTGTAGTAAAATCCACTTAATATTATGGATACAATGTAGTTCATTTAATGAAAATAATTATAAAATGTTAAATTGACTATAATTTATATATTTATAGCATCTGTCTGTGAAATAAAGTTTCAGTAAGTGAGCAGTCAGTCATCAGTGCTTGTATCTGCTGTGTTCAGGTTCACGGTGAGACGAGCAGAAGAAGATGGAGGGATGCCTGACACTCGTTTTACTCTCCTCTATATTCATTCTAACCACATCTGGTAAGTACAAAATAGACAGTAGAAGGTGAAATTATACTTGTTTAAATGAGAAGTTTATCTATGTTGGCCTTATATCACTAGAAACTGAATAGATGCCTGTGTAGTATCTACAAACTATATCTCATGAAAATAGTTAATTAATTGTCAGTTAAATTTGAGCTTTTAGAGACTAACAATTTAATGACAGGATTATTTATATTCTCTCGTCTATCTTGAAGAACATATATATTTGTATTTACTAACTTTTTTATATCTTATGTTTCTCAACATTGCAATATTCTTCTTGTAGGTGGTTAAATCCCTTTCTCTCTTCTTTGTACAGATTTTGAGACTGTTAGGTTGGTTGGTGGTAACAGTCCCTGCAGTGGTAGAGTGGAGGTTCATCATAATGGTCAGTGGGGAATAGTGTGTGATGATGACTGGGATATGACTGATGCTAAAGTGGTGTGTAGAGAGCTGGGATGTGGAGAGGCTGTAGAGGCTCTGGGTGATGCTCACTTTGGACCAGGATCAGGACCAATCTGGATGGATGATGTGGCCTGTACTGGATCAGAGTCCACACTGAAGAACTGTGCATCAGGAGGATGGGGTGTTAGTGACTGTGGTCATCGACATGATGCTGGAGTCAAATGCTTAGGTAAGACAGTCTAATTTCTTTAAATGTTTTATTATAAAAAATTATTTGAAGGAACTGATGTTTATCTCAATAAGGAATTAATTAGCATCACACATTTTGTTACATTGATATTTATTTATGTAATATAAACACAGGTCGCCACCCCAGACTCGTTAATGGATTCCACCTGTGTTCTGGGAGATTAGAAATTCTTCAGGGGAACACATGGTACACAGTGTGTGCTGCTGCCTTTGACCAGCAGGATGCAGAGGTTGTGTGTAGAGAGCTGGACTGTGGGGCTCTTGTACAGGTGCTGGGAGCTGCTGCTTTTGGCAAAGGAGACGCTCAGATGTGGACACAAGAGATTCAGTGCAGAGGAGATGAATCACACATTCGACGCTGTTCATTGTCAACTTCAGCTCAAATAAGCTGTACCCATGATAATGACATAGGACTGATATGTTCTGGTAAAATGTTTACCCTCTTTTTAAAGAATCCAGTTCCAATTGTTGAATAGTAAAACACTCTGAATTATTTGACCATATTAATCAGAGATTAGAACACAGAATTACTCAGATTATCTCTGTTCTCTTGTTTTTTTGTGTTTTATTATTTTTTTGTATTTGATTTCAGTAAGAACTGTGTTGTCTGTCTAGGTTACACTGATCTCAGACTGGTAAACAGCCCTGACATCTGTTCTGGTCGAGTCGAACATCAGTACTTAAGTAAATGGGGCACAGTGTGTGATGCATGCTGGGATATGAGAGCTGCCAGTGTCCTCTGTAGACAGCTGAATTGTGGGATTGCTGTGTCTGTTGTGGGATCAGACTGGTTTGGAGAGGGAAGTGGTAAAATCTGGGCTGATGTGTTTGATTGTGACGGGAATGAAACAAAACTCTCAGAATGTTCCATCTCTTCATGGAGTCGAGCTGAATGTTCTCATAGTCGAGATGTTGGAGTCATCTGCTCTAGTGAGTCCATATTACTGTAACATTTACTGACATTATGCTACTGGAAGACTTACTCTTATTCAAAATGCAATATTTATTCCATATACATTTTAGACTGAAGAGTAATGCTTGTGTCAGTTAAGTTTCGAATTTACTTATATAAAATGTAATAATGATATAAAGCATATTTATTATATAAATGTTCCTCTGTGGTCTTTAACACATTTACAGTATTTTAGTAAAATGTCAGCTCTCTCACTCAGATTCCTCTCTGGCTCTTCATGATGGTCTGGTGCGGTTGTCTGCAGAGAGACAGTGTGAGGGGGAGGTGGAAGTTTTCGTCCATCAGGTCTGGAGGAGAGTTCTGCTGGACTCCTGGAGTCTCACTGAATCCTCTGTGGTCTGCAGACAGCTGGGCTGTGGCTCTGTGCTGAACTTCTACGGCTCCTCTTCATCCAGTCCTGAACACAGTCATGAGTGTGTGACGGGCTTCCAGTGCTCTGGGAGTGAAGCTCATCTGGGGAACTGCAGCTCTCCACAAACTCTCAACTGCAGCTCCACACAACAGCTGTCAATCACCTGTCTTGGTGAGAAAAACAACATCTGGACAGATTTTTCAGTCGTTTATGATCAATAATGTGTTTTTCTTTCTCTGAATATCAGGTCACGGGTCCATCAGGCTGGTGGGTTCTGGGGGAGACTGTGCAGGGAGGCTGGAGGTTTTTCACAGCGGCTCATGGGGGACAGTGTGTGGCGACTCCTGGGATATTAAAGATGCTCATGTGGTGTGCAGACAGCTGCAGTGTGGAGTGGCCCTCGGAAACAAGCAGGTACCAGCCTGGTTTGGTCCTGGTTCTGGACCCATATGGCTGGATGAGGTGGAGTGTGAGGGGAATGAGACGTCCCTGTGGAGCTGCTCTTCTCCAGGCTGGGGAAAACATGACTGTCAACACAAGGAGGATGTAGGAGTCATATGCTCAGGTAAACACACTGCTGTGCTTTTTTAATTATACTTAAAATTTATATAAAGGTTTTAGAAATAACCTTTTAACACATCCACATATCCATAATGCCCAGGTTTTTCAGTTTTGGTATTTTAAAATTATATTTTCTTTTCAATTTCATCTAGAGTTAATTGTTTTAATGCACATCCTTTTCCATCTAGAGTTTAAAGAGATCAGGTTAAGTGAGGGCTGTGAAGGGAATGTGGAGGTTTTCTACAATGGATCCTGGGGTAATGTGTGCTGGAACCAGATGGACGGAGACACAGCAAGTCTGATCTGTCAAGAGCTGAACTGTGGAAGATCTGGTGTTTTGTCGGATTCTACAGCAAGAGTGAAATCAGCTCCTAACTGGCTAGATGAAGTGAAGTGTCGACCACATGATTCATATCTGTGGCAGTGTCCATCTTCACCCTGGGGACAGAATAACTGTAATAATAAGGATGAAGTGGCCAAAATCACCTGCTCAAGTGAGATGATATTTAAATGATGTAAAATGGTTTCAGTAGTCATGTTTCTTCAAACACAATGTTTATATGTTGTGAGTAAACTAATGTTTAAGAAAAGCTAAACTTAACTGATGGAAAGAGCATAAAATGATTTGTGAGGCTTAAATGATACAGGTGCATCTCAATAAATTAGAATGTCGTGGAAAAGTTCATTTATTTCAGTAATTCAACTGAAATTGTGAAACTCGTGTATTAAATACATTCAATGCACACAGACTGAAGTAGTTTAAGTCTTTGGTTCTTTTAATTGTGATGATCTTGGCTCACATTTAACAAAAACCTAAGACCAATAAAATAAACAACCTTCTGGAAAGTATGTTCATTTACTGTACATGTACTCAATACTTGGTAGGGGCTCCTTTTGCTTTAATTACTGCCTCAATTTGGCGTGGCATAGAGGTGATCAGTTTGTGTCACTGCTGAGGTGGTATGGAAGCCCAGGTTTCTTTGACAGTGGCCTACAGCGGTTTCTCATTTTCCTCTTGACAATAGATTCTCTATGGGGTTCAGGTCTAGTGAGTTTGCTGGCCAGTCAAGCACACCAACACCATGGTCATTTAACCAAAGGACGCAGTTCGAAGTTCCCATGAAAGGGAACCACAGAGCTGCAGGTGCATGTTTGTGTGTGTGTGTGAGTGTCTGTCAGTCAGTCAGCGTCTCTTCCTGTGTGTATTTTTAGATTGTCATAAGCAGGTGTTCATATAATTTTAAGTGTAGGTGCAGGTGTGCGTGTGTGTGTGTGTGTGTGTATTTCTGGAAGGCAGTGAGGAATGGGTTCATGTGAGGATACAGTACATGTGTATTTGCTAATAGGCCCAATAAAAAGGGATTTCTCTCTATAATACTTTTTAAATGTGAATAATTCATTTTTGTGTTGTCTTGTCGTCTTTATAATCGAAAGGATTCAGTCTGTTTGTAATGATGAACATGTTTTTGACGGTTCTGCTCTCCTTTAACAGGGAGTCTCATCTCTGAAGAACTGCATTCTGGGTATGAAGATGCCGATGAGCTTCTCTCAGGTTAGAGAACTGAAGTGCATATACATTCCACATTCTACAAAAAAAACCTTTATAATGAATTCACATAAACAAAGAAATAATTGTAACTAGCAATTCTATTATATATTTGATCAATGACTCAATACTATTGAAATACTGCTGTTTATTTGTATATTAACCGTCTGCTCTCCTTTTTTAGCAAAAGAGTTCAAGACTGCATATTATGATGATGTCACCAACAGCAGTGGCCTAAAAGGTCAGTGACCTTTTTAATTGATCACATGATTCATTACCAGATGTTTAATAAATTCTCAGTCTTATGATCTGCAACAAGAACATATGTTGGCTTTTGTATCCAAACATATTGTGTGTTGATGCAGAAGAGACGATGAAGGAAATCACACCGGGATACTATGATGATGTCATCACTGATGGACTGAAAGCAGATCGTGAGACAGGTGTCACTCTGATATTCTACAGCAGCATTTAAATTAAAATATTACAGTATATTTAAGATAGATATTTCACGTTTGTTCTGAATGTAATGAATGTGTGTCTGTGATGAATGTGAATCTGTAGAAGACTCTGACATCAAGAAAGGTGTTTTACGATTTTATCAACTTTTTAAAATAATATTCCTCTAAAATCAAATCATTACAGATAATATTTTAAATTACTGTGTTAATATTTTATTTATTTATTTAATTTTTTTGGCTCATTTAATTTGGACTCATGTGCATGTGTAGTGAACACACCAGAGAATTATGATGATGTCATCATTAATAGACCGAGCTCTGAAGGGGTAACAGGTGAGATGCACAAAACAACTTTTTTTTTAAATCACCTTTTCCATGTTTACATCAGAATTAGATATTCGTTCCGTGTCATCAAGTCACATACAGAAAAAGGGATCCTTCAAATGAAATGAAGTGTTTTATAAACTGAAATGACGTGTTTTTCTGTCATTCTCGATCAGAGAGAGTTCAGGAGGAGTATGATGATGTGATGAGTGTCAGTGAAGATGTGAGAAACCTGTTGGGTAAGTTACTGTAACCCTTTTGTTCTCACTATACTAACATCTTTATTTATATTAGAATTTTTTTAATAGTTTTCCATTTTTAGACTTTTAAAATATTCTTCTAATTATATTATTTGACGTGGTTTTTTATTTTGTTCTTAATAACAGATTATGATGATGTGGAGGAGGAGTCAAACAAAGAAGGGGGTCATTTCGCTCAGTGATCACACCCCCTGCCTCGGTTCAACAAATCTGAACAAAGTTTGAGTGATATTGTTATTAATATGTCAAATCTCAGGTTTTTATATTTCCCCCCCCATTTTTGTATTAAAACTTTTTTTAATTTGCCTTTGTGAGATTTTGTTGTATTATTTTTTTTGGCCTTGTTAATATCAATAAAAACATTTCAGACAAATGTTTGTGTGTATTTGAGTAAGACATTACACAACAAAGCACAAGCAACACATTCTAAGACATTCTGAATATAAACCCAAATGCCCCATCAGTGATTTAACAGCCCTCAGCATCACTGCAGCAAGTACTGGAGTTTTGTGAGTGATAAATGGGGAAGAAAATATCTAACTTCTACAATAGACACACACACACACACAAGTCTGTATAAAATATTATCTTATGTGATCAGGTGTGTTTTTAAGCAATAAATAAATAAATACACATATTGCTTGTCTATTGGGCGTTTTACTTTTATGCATCATTTACCAGGCTATAGAAGTGTTACGTGTACAACCTGTAACATGTTTAAAATGCATATTTCTTCTCAATAAACCATATGAATCACTTTATAACAATATATTATTAATTAATAATGCTTCACAACAGAACATTAATAATATATAAACAATATAAAATGAGCGCAGAGCTGCCTGTTGTGTGACGTCATCTATGTACATGTGTTGCAGTCATAAATGAAACCACTGAATGTCCTGCTACTTTTTGGTACTTTTAAAATCCTAGAAGCTTAATGAGAGCTTCTTCGCTGCTGACAAACAATAGCATGTAGTCGCAGGTTTTATTTTGGTTGATTGTAGGTAAGTATACACCTCACAGACTGCCCATTTTGTTATCTCTATGTTAAAACACTCAACCAACTCTGGCAACTTCAGCTGTTTGTTCAGCTGTTAGCCAATCATGCCTTAATTAATTTAGACATGGTCAAGACAATCTGCTGAAGTTCAAAATGACTATGAGAATGAGGAAGAAAAGTGATATAAGTGACTTTGAACGTGGAATGGTTGTTGGTGGCAGACAGGCTGGTCTGAGTGTTTCAGAAACTGCTGATCTACTGGAATTTTCACATACAACCATCTCTAAGGTTTACAGAGAGTGGTCTGAAAAAGACAAAATATCCAGTGAGTGGCAGTTCTGTGGGTGAAAATGCCTTGTTGATGCCAGAGGAGAATGACCAAACTGGTTAGAGCTGATAGAAAGGCAAGAGTAACTCAAATAACCAGTCATTACAACCAAGATAAGCAGAAGAGCATCTCTGACTGCACAACACATCAAAGCAGATGGGCTACAGCAGCAGAAGACCACACTGGATGCCACTCCTGTCAGCTAAGAACAGGAAACTGAGGCTACAATTTGCACAGGCTCACCAAAATCAGCCAACAGAAGATTGGGAAAAGGTTGCCTGATCTGATGAGTTTCGATTTCTGTTGCAACATTCGGATGGTAGGGTCAGAAATGGGTGTAAATAGCATGACAACTATCCTGCTTCTCAATGGTTCAGTCTGCTGCATGTGGTGTAATCGTGTGGAGTATGTTTCTTAGTACACTTTGGACCCCTTTAGTACCAATTGAGCTTTGTTGAAATCCCACAGCCTGAGTATCATTGCTAGCCATGTTCATCCCATTATGACCGCAGTGTCCTCTCAGTGCCTGTCCAAATACCCAAACTTGCGGTCTTTGCACGTGACTACTTGTCTACTTACATTATGTATTTCTTGTATTTGTTCCAAGTGTTCAAGTGGGTGAGGACACCACAAGTGTGTGTAACTTTTCATTAAAAGTTAATAAAAAATTTTTAAATGGAACACGTGTATATTGCTATAAAAATGCAAATGTTTACAGAGCTTTATTTTGATTTTCAATATCTTGCATTTTGAAATAAACTTCTAAATGTCTGTTCAGTCGTCCCTATAACAGAGAACACAATTCAGTAATTGTGGTGCTTCTAATTAAGCAATAAAAACAGTTGTAAATGATGTACGTAATACACATACTCATCTTTGTTCCAATAAAATGTAAAATGTTATGTTTTACTGCCAAATTATATGTAATATCTAATTATTTTAACTTACAGTGGAATGTTTTCCTCCATTTCACATTTTCGGGGCACAAGTTCCTGAACATGATACATGATGGGATACGCTAAGTCTTGAATACAGCTTTGGAGCGGAATCGTGTTGGGTTTAGTGTTAAGGGGACTGAGCTTTGACATTTTTAGGGGTGTTCGCAGCTCTCTTTGTTGGTCAAAATAATGACTACATGACTGCTCTGATGACCAACAGCAGTAGTGGTACAGTAACCATCAAGTGTGTGGAGACCCCTACTGAGGGGACCTGGGGTCTTGATCTTGCTTAGGGTCCTCGAAATAGTAAACCCACCCCCAGGGCCATACTTTAGAGATTATTTTAAAAAACGAATGAAAATATGATAAATATCACTCTCACTGCTATAGTGTATTCACATCATTCTGTCACTCTGAGTGTTAGAATAAATTATAGCAGCAGACAAAAAGTAAAATGAACGAGCTGTGAAATGAGCTCTACATGAAATAAATTAGAATTGTAGCTGAATAAGTGTACATTTTCTGTCTGGAAAAAAGTGAGAAGCTCCCTCATGTGGTGACACAAGGACAAGACTCTTGTCTGCTCCTCTTTACAATGAGAAGTGTTTTTCTGCCATCTGCTGGATGAATTACACATTGCAGTGTTAAACACACAAATGTCTTTGATATGATGGCAAATCAATATCTTTAGAACAGAAAACAATGTTTATTTACAAATCTTGTCTGAATAGCCTTCTGCTGTTGTACACAATCAGTCCAGTTCATTTGATAATGTATTAACATACTGTTTATTGTGCTCTTGATTGGAACATCATAATGGTGAAGTAAAATCCACCTAACATTATACACATTTGTTTCTAAAAAATAACTTTAAAATGTTCTGTTTATTCTAATTTATAAATTTATAGCAAAAATCAACTATTTTAAAATAAAGTTTCAGTAAGTGAGCAGTCAGTCATCAGTGCTTGTATCTGCTGTGTTCAGGTTCAGGTTTTGATGCTGAATATAAGCTGCAGTGTTTCTGTATCAATCTGCTCTAAGTTTAGTGTGACTTTATCTCCACACTGACTTATGACTGACACGAGTCTGTCCTCAGTGAAGTGTCTCTTCACGCTGGAGGAGGAGTCCCGCTCATCAGCGCTCACACTTTATTGATATATATGGAGAAAATAAAAATGCTGCTTTCTGATTTGTCACTGATTGTGTTTGATGATTTCCTCTGTTCTGTCTAATAAGGTAACAGTGAGTGTCATTGGCAGCTGTGAGTCTCTCTCTCTCTTTAGGGGGCTGACAGGAGCCAGTTTCTTCAGTGTGTTTGAGGGAGCAGCAGAGAATCTTGTGCTGACAGTCAAACAGAGGGTGTGACGAGCAGAAAATGATGGAGGGATGCCTGACACTTGTTTTATTCTCCTCTATAATCACTCTAATTACATCTGGTAAGTACACAAATGGACAGTAAAGAGTTTAATTTAAATGTGTGTTTAAATGAGCATTTAATCTATGATGGCTTCAAATCACTAGAACGTGAATAGAGGCCTGTGTAATATCTAGAAAATAAGATCTCGTAACACTAATCATTAATTAAGAATGACATTTTATGAATGATTTGAGCTTTTACATGCAACCAATTTAATGATAAGATTATTTGTCATTTTTTCTTTTACAGCAGTAGTTGTACAGTTTGAATTTACAAAATTTTTTTGTATCTTGATTTTGCTGTAATCTGTTTATGATTCTGTTTTACTGCTACTGTTGTTAAATCTCTTTCTCTCTCTTTTATGCACAGATTTTGAGACTGTTAGGTTGGTTGGTGGTAACAGTCTCTGCAGTGGTAGAGTGGAGGTTCATCATGGTCAGTGGGGAACAGTGTGTGATGATGACTGGGATATGACTGATGCTGCAGTGGTGTGTAGAGAGCTGGGCTGTGGAGAGGCTGTAGAAACTCTGGATAAGGCTCACTTTGGTCAAGGATCAGGACCTATCTGGATGGATAATGTGGCCTGTAGTGGATCAGAGTCTACACTGAAGAACTGTAGATCAAGAGGATGGGGTGTTAGTGACTGTGGTCATGGTGAAGATGCTGGAGTCAAATGCACAGGTAAGCTGTTCCATACATCAGCCTGGTAATGCATCACTGATCAAACTTTCATCCATAAACAAGATATGCAGTTTAAACTAATAATAAATAATAATTGATAATTGTTTTCAGAGCAATTTATAAACAATTAATTTATAATTAGCATTTTTTTATGGTCTAAACTACTCACTTTCATCCTTTAAAAAAAAAATTAAAGAGCTTGCTTCTTGTTTTATGTCTGTAAAATAATCATAGTGACAGATGGTCTTCTCTGTTGTGTAAATAAAATCAGAAACTATAAACTACGGAAGGTCAAGACTTGTTGCTGGGTCTCAGCTGTGCTCTGGAAGAGTGGAGATGCTTCTTGCAGGTGGATGGGGTTCAGTGTGTGACGCTGCCTTTGACCAGCAGGATGCAGAGGTTGTGTGTAGAGAGCTGGACTGTGGGGCTCCTGTACAGGTGCTGGGAGCTGCTGCTTTTGGTAAAGGGGACGCTCAGATCGGATCAAAAGAGATTCAGTGCAGAGGAGACGAATCACACATTCAACGCTGTCCATCATCAACCTCACATAAAATAAACTGCACCCATGAAAATGATGTTGGACTGATATGTTCCGGTAAAATGTTTAACCTGTTTATTTAACAAATCCAATTGTTAAATATACTAAAATTTAATTGGTTGATCAGTACCATCATTATAAGCCTCGAGTGACTGTATTAAACAGAACTAAGAACATGAGAATAACAGATAAGCTCTGTGTTCTTTCTCCAGGTTACACTGATCTCAGGCTGGTGAACGGTTCAGACTCTTGTTCTGGAAGAGCGGAGCTTCAGTTCCTCAGTAAATGGGGAACAGTGTGTGATGCATGCTGGGATATGAGAGCTGCCAGTGTCCTCTGTAGACAGCTGAATTGTGGGATTGCTGTGTCTGTTGTGGGATCAGACTGGTTTGGAGAGGGAAGTGGTGAAATCTGGGCTGATGTGTTTGATTGTGACGGGAATGAAACAAAACTCTCAGAATGTTCCATCTCTTCATGGAGTCGAGCTGAATGTTCTCATAGTCGAGATGTTGGAGTCATCTGCTCTAGTGAGTCCATATTACTGTAACATTTACTGACATAAGGGCGGTAGCTGGGGTTTGCGGGGCCCCAGTGCAGGTTGTACCAGTGGGCCCTTTTTGAAATTGTTTGATTTGTATGTTCGTTCTATTTATTTATTTGTGCTATTTACACAATGTTTACGTTTTTTCAAGATTGTAGGTGTCCAGGTACAGAAACCGAATAATCAAATGTAAAATAGCACTGCATAGTCTTCACTGTAAATATTAAATATACAGTCAAACCAAAATTTATTCAGACACCTTCAACATTTCTCACATTATCACAGTTTATTTGCTATAGTTTAGAAAATGGTAATAAAATATGACAAGAACTCCGAGTTAAACTGTGTCAGAACAAATTCAGCTTGATAATGTCAGATAACTTTGATAGAAAGGTATGTAATGGATTACAATCAACCAAAAATTCAGACAACTGTTAGCATGACAATATTTACACAACTATCAATGCTTTGTTGTCCAATTACCAAGCAATGCTTAATTTTGTTCAGTCTGTGGTGTAAAAAGTTCGCAATTAAAGAAAAAACACTGAAGCAAAACATGGTCAGGTCAAAAGTGTCTGAATAATTTTTGGTCCCAATTTTTTTTTTTATAAATGTTACTGGTAGTCCACTGTATGAAGAATGTTTAGGTATAATATGTCACAGTTTATTTTATTTATACTCACTTACATAAATGATCTCGCCTGTAGT